AAAATTGGTTGCTAAGTAAATTTCATCAAAGTATGCCTTGATGTTTCATTGCAACTGTATATAATGTAGTAAAATTATGATTTTTTATATATTAGCTGTTCACTGGCTCCAAGTGGTTCGCCGAAAGATCCGGAACATCCGGAAAATTTATTGCTGCATAAATTTGATTAAAGTAGGCCTTGCTTTTGCTCTGCAACTACGTGAAATGTAGTAAAATGGTGATTTTTGTTATATTAGCTGTTCAATTGTTCCGAGTGGTCACGACATAACCCGCTGGAAGATCCGGAAAATCTGATAAATTTATTGCAGCGTAAATTTGATCAAAGTAGGCCTTGATTTTACTCTGCAACTATGTGGAGTGTAGTAAAATGGTGATTTTAGATACATTAGCTGTTCAATGGCTCTGAGTAGTCCGTGAGAAGATCCGGAACATCCGTAAAATTGATTTATGTGTAAATTTTATCAAAGCAGGCCTTGCTTGTTCCCTGCAACTAAATGGAATGTAGTAAAATGGTGATTTTTTATATATTCGCTGGTCATTGGCTTCGAGTTATCACCAGGTGGTCCAGAAAATACGGAACATCCGTAAAATTTATTGCTGCGTAAATTTGATCAAAGTAGGCCTTGTAAAATGTAGTAAAACGATGCTATTGATGTTGTTTCTTACAGTCGTTAGTTAACTGCCTCCTGTCAAAGTTCATTCATGAGTATTCACCTTAGCTTTCTTCAAATTGAATTCAACATTTCAAAACAAAATGTGGTAAGTATAGGGTTTAACATATCATCATACACCAATCGATCTCTTTGTCTCGTATCAACTAAAAATACACAGCTACCACATTGCTTTACGCTGGAATGCATGCAATGCGATTGTATCTTCAAATATTATTACTGCCGCACGGCCGTAGAATTCAAATCAAATTTGCATTCCGCTCACTCAAATTCGCTAAACCCAGGATATTCATAGACTGATTAAAATTTTTCTCGCTTTTCCTCAAATGAGGATTTTTCACGATTTTGAGGAAAATCGAGGGAACTTTTGCTCAATGTAGGAGTATACCTGGAGACTGTTTTCATTATTATTATAATTATTACTCAGTCTATAAGTAACCTGCTTTCTAGAGAATATGAGTAAATGGAACTCAAATTTGAGTTGAATTCTACAGCCGTATGTATCTCACTTGTGAGTATATCAATAAAACAGTACACCATAGTTTTACAAGCACATATTTAAAATATCCTTCTGATACGGATATGAACTTAGTTTAACAGAATAATTAGTATTCCTTAAGTATAATCGCTTATTGCTTTACAATGCATATTATATGGGAGTATTCGCCATTAAGCAGTGGTAGTGGTTAAGTAGCATTGCCATCACGGGCAGCATCCTTCCCGCAGCCAGAATAATAATCCGCAGCAGTAGCGTCGAAATACACTGCTCGGGCAGAAACACCATGAAGCTCAAGTAATGGTAAAGAAACGGTGGACGGAAAACGGCGAAAGTAAACTGTGAGTTCACTATGCTTTCAAGTACTGTGGTCGTAAGAACACGAAGGTTCGAAGCAGCAGCATCAACACAATGCGAGGTACCTGCTAAACTGGTATAGTGTGTAACCAGTATCCTGATTCACTGGTTCAGAAGTTATTAGTTAGTAAGTTCCAGTTAGGTCCAGGGGGATTGCCGCCGTTTATTGGAACCTTAACCGATGAGTTTAGTTTCCATCGGCGGGCACTCTCTAAAACTCATCGAGCCGATACCCAATACACGGAACCCTTGGAGTCTTCATTCCTTGAAGGACGACACCCAACAAACCATCCGCGACCCTATGTAGGATGATCCAAAGAAGCTAAGTCACACACAAAACCGTGAGCCCAGTACCCACGATTCAGACTACGAAATATCCATCATCTTAGGTATAAGTTTGATCATTTATTCCCTCCTCCTCGTATGTACTAGCGAAGCTCTTACCCTAATTTATGTATTTACCTGAATAAACGTAACCCTAGCAGCACACTTGTCGCAAACGGCAACTCCTATGTGATTTATTCCAGTTATAATCAAGTTGCCTCAACCTTTAGAGACGGAAGTGTATTGCTTGGGAAATTATGCTTAGTGGGACTAATACACATTACAACCTGATTGTAAAACTCAATTTTGTGACTTGTTTTGGACACGGTATCTCTGTTCGAAACATAATTAACAGTCAGAGTACTAAGGATGCAAAGCGCGTGACGATGCTGTGAACAAGCATGGTTCTCAATAACGGGACAGTCATGCAGTGTTGCAGCATCGTCATGCATTTTGCTCCCTTGGTCTTCTAACTGATTAAATAAATAGGAACGTAAGACGGGGTGACATTGAAACTAGGAAGTCACATTGGGTCAAAATTGAAAAATGTTTATTGATGCAAATATCTTCATAATACAGAAAATGATGTCTAGTATATGTTTCCTGAGCTTCTGGAGTAAAGTGTAGATAACATTAACTAGTTGTTTTATTTAATTTCTGCTGTAAAGTAAAGTGTCATAAATAGTAGTAGATTTTTTTAAATGTCCACAGGCAAACAAATGTTTGAACACACTTTTATAAAAATAGACGAAGGCTACAAGCGATCTTTAACCATACATACGAAGTACATTGTGATCATAACCAAGTGTACTCCCAATAGCTACGATAAATTTACATATTTTAATATGCAACACATTTGAACACTACCCTGAAATGAAAGGGGATAACTTAAGGCTTCGTTGGATGTGTGGCTCAGAGATACTGATTTTTTTTTATTATCCTGAAATATTTTATTTGATGATGAAAATGTGTGTCAACCTGTTTACTAATCGATTTAAATACATGCGATGTTTGTGTGACTTACACACCTACACACTTGCTAACGACTACGCCGGACCTGTCCTCATACGAAGCAATTAATTTTACTGATGTTACAATGAACAGCTAATATATAAAAAATCACCATTTTACCACATTCCATATAGTTGCAGAGAAAAAGCAAGGCCTACTTCGTTCAAATTTAAACAGAAATCAATTTTACGAATGTTCCAGATCTTATGACGGACCATCTGGTGACTACTCAGAGCCATTGAACAGCTAATGTATCTAAAATCACCATTTTACTACTCTCCACATAGTTGCAGAATAAAATCAAGGCCTACTTTGATCAAATTTACACAGCAATAAATTTATCAGATTTTCCGGATCTTCCAGCGAGTTATGTCGTGACCACTCGGAACAATCTAACAGCTAATATAACAAAAATCACCATTTTACTACATTTCACGTAGTTGCAGAGCAAAATCAAGGCATACTTTAATCAAATTTACGCAGCAATACATTTTACGGATGTTCCGGATCTTTCGGCGAGCCACTTGGAGCCAGTGAACAGCTAATATATAAAAAATCATAATTTTACTACATTATATACAGTTGCAATGAAAAATCAAGGCATACTTTGATGAAATTTACTTAGCAACCAATTTTACGGATGTTCCAGATCTTTCGGTGGGTCATCTGGTGACCATTTGGAGCCAATGACCAGCTAATATATCAGAAATCACCATTTTACTGTATTCCATATAATTGCGGAGGAAAATCAAGGCCTACTTTGATCAAATTTGCGCAGCAATCAATTTTACGGATGTTCCGTATCTACCAGCGGACCATCTGGTGATAACTCGGAGCCATTGAACAGCTAACATATCAAAAATCACCATTTTACAACATTTCTCATTGTTGCAGAGCAAAATCAAGGCCTACTTTGATCGAATTTATGTAGCACTAAATTTTACGGATGTTTCGGATCTTCCGGCGGATCATCTGGTGACCACTTGGAGTCATTGAAACGCTTATATATCTAAAATCATTAATTTACTACATTTCATATAGTTGCAGAGAATAATCAAGGCCTACTTTGATAAAAAAAATACATAATAATCCAGATTAAGGTTGATCCGGGTCATCGGAAGGCCTTCCGGTGGACGCTCAGTATTTAGAACCAGGTTATGGGTTGATTTTGTTAAAATATTAATCAGCACTACCCATAGATGCCTGTTGCTGTGGATTTTCAGCACCACCTTGTTATAGACGACTGGTACCTTTTCTTCCCCCGATGGCCTCTCGGAAACCCGGAATAAAACCGGAACCACTTGGCCAATCTGTTCCAATTTTTAGCTGACCATAATTTCGAACATTTTTCTACTCACTGTGAAAATTTAAACCAATTTCATGGTTAAACAAAAAAGTTATACCTATGCAAACATTGCTATTCGTATACCTGTTCGTAAAAATAAAAACTGCACAAGCGCGTTAGGCCCTCCCCAGAAGTAAAGCAGGTGGTGTTCGTTTGAAACTATAATAACATTTCGGGGGTAACTCGGATTCACATCCGGTATTCAGCCAAGATGTTTCCAATACTCCAAAGGTGCTACATTTTGTACACGAAGAAAATCGACCCACTACAGCGCCACCTAGAGCCGCGAATGTGAAAGTGGTTCGCTCCCCCATACATTTTGTCGATTTTCCCCATACAAACTTCAAGCCGTTTGAGCGAGGGGTTCCCGTGAACCAAATGACTTCAAATTTTGGCAGGGTGATTCTGACCCCCAAAACTACCATTCCAGAGGGTAGCGTTTGAAATCCCAGATTTGACCTATTTTGAAACACTCTAATGTACAGCGGTACTACAACCATGTCTGTCGATGGTTTAAATGAGGGTGCAATATATCTGTCTTTTGAATCAGAATTTCCTACTAGTTCAAAGTGCAGTGAAGAAAATCAAAAGTTTAATATCACCGCTTAACGCTCGCTTATCGCTCCTAAACCACCTCAGACCAGCGATTAAACTAAGCGACACTTATATTAATCCTGGTAAATTTTATACTTGGTTTAAAATGAAGCCAGGTATAAAATGTTGTTAAACCTGGTTTAAATTTTAAGCGGAGGTGAAGAAAACGCCCCTTACTGTTTTCAAATAGAATATAATTACCTGACATTCTTCAGAATCATTTGAAACTGGCATGTCTGAAGAAATGTTGAATCCACCGTCCGTATTGCTGAACTTGAAATGTGATGACTGAAAGAAAGATAAATTTAAGGAAAGTAATAATCAAAATGCAACAGTGACCATCAATACTAAGCGTAACATTTGAGTCAGGTAGGGCAAAACTTTGACATAAGTTGAAAAAATTGAAAATCTTAATAAAGTACAACCAACAGTACAACACCGGCGGCAAGAAAGCTCATACACACTAAAACCGTTTTCCTTTTTAGCTACACCAGTGCTACACCGCCGTACACCGCAATAATTTAGGGTGTATATATTAAAGCCCTACAGTAAAAGCAGTAAAAGTATGGACGTCTGTCAAAGGTTGTTCCAATCCTCGTTCCAATCGAACCGTCAAAATGCACCGCGTTGCTCGATTGGAACAGCTTTTTTCAGTGTTGTGGTGACAGTCGTCCATGCTTTAACTAGAAGCTGAGTACTGCGAACTAACTCAAAATGCTTGTCATTTGGGAGCCGAGTCAAACTGTCAAACGGGAGCCAAACATTCAAAAGAGTTTAGAAGTCACGTAGGTAGTTACTGTTTGAACCACAAGTAAAGGTGTTGCCACCTACTGAAAACAAATTAAGAATTATAATTATGAAACTGTCGAAACATCAACCTTAGTAGGCGGATAATGTAAATCACCGAGCTTGATGCTCGAAAAAGTGTTTTTATTTGATACTAATAATGCCAAAACTGGGTTGCTGAAAGAAGGATGTAATCAAACTTTATAAGAGTCATGTGAGCTTTGTGGGCAGGTGCACTCCCATCACCATGTATACGTTATTTCTGGAGCAGAGGAGGAGGAGCCAAGACAATTATAAGGTCTGGGCCAAAGGGGTTATTGGTGTTAGTGAAATGTGCAATTGTTTAGTGGTGTTCGTATTTTATTGCAATGTTTATCTTTTTACACGAAACAGCTGTTGGCAGTCAATGAGCTGGATTACCGAGGTGAAGCAATCGGTTAAGTTGTGTGAGTAAAACCCCTGTACGATACAAGCAATTAGTGACGTCACTACTTGCGTTTACGTTGATTTTTTGGATTACTAATACAACCATATTTCACGATCTGCTTCACCTCTTTCTGTACCTCATTGGTTGGCAGTGACGTATTTCTATCTGTTCTCAGTATGTTGGCAGTGACGTATTTCTATATGTTCGCAGATGTTCAGCAATGTTTACAACATTTTTGCTTCTAATACCAGCAAGCTGCCTGTTGGTACAGACCATGGTGGGTATATAAATGGTGATACAGCTTTGTCACTATATAGGCGAGGAGGTCGCGAGGGGGAAAATGCGGTTTTAGAGCAAATTGTAAACAAACTCGGTCGCTGTCCCATACAAAAATCCAACATGGCTGAATCACGAATTTGACACATTAGAACACCTATATGTAGCCACCTTGGTCCAGACCTAATATAAATGTCATTGGAGCCAAGAGTTTATTTGGCAGCATGTATATACAATTTCGAGAGCTGTTTCAGCAAAACAATTTGAAACTTCGGAAGATTTTCAAGATGTTTTCTAGCTCACTTGAAAAATAAAATCGACTGAGGTCGCAGTACTCAGACTAGAAGGCTTTAGTATATATTGGATGCACCTTTGTTTACAAACAAATTTATGCTTACATTACACCGGTGCTACACCGCAAAAACGAAAACGACATGAGATCTCAGCAAAAGTAATGGTTGATTGCTGCGTCAATTGCTGAGATCTCAGTAAAACCCGGGCTACTAAACTTAGTGTATAAGATCCGTCAGAAAATGAAAATATAAAGCAATTTGATGAAAAAAACATGAATAAAAAATGCGGTCGGAAAATTCACGCAAAAGCAGAATATGATGATTACCTAATACCTTAAAAATAAAATCTTTCACAAATAATTATAAACTGTAACTGTAAGCTTAATGAATTAAATAGAATAATAAAAGAACCTACGCAACAGGAGCATTATCTATGACGGTCACAAAAGATTTTTTTTTACTTTATTAACGTGATTTTTAGCCAAAGACTAGTTCATCTCCAGAATAAATAAATTAAAAGGATATTGAAATTCATAAATGAATAAAAAAAAATGAATGTGATGTTAATGAAGCAATAAATAAATTAATAAAACATATAATGAAGAAATAATACGTCACGCAAGGGTTGGATCCATTATGGATGATATTATGATAGACCTTAACCTAACCCCATCAATTAATGCTGCACTCTACTCTGTTACCATATATATTCAAGTTTTCGTTCGAACCGTTGTTCTATTAAAAAAAATTGTATGAAAAATACGGTTCGAACGAAAACAAGAAAATGGATGCACATTTCGTAGCTTCTACACTTTATTTACATTTTAATTCTATATCTTTTTCTCTGTTCTAATTGATGATCACGTTATATTTGGATTTACATTTTTTTAATCACACTATGGACTTTTGTAATTGTAATTGTTCGGTGCTTAAACCGTCCTTTCCGCTAAGTTGGCGTATCTAGGGACCAACCCCAAGGTCTCTACACCTACCGTCCTTCCCGTTGCACTCTTTAACTCGTGCGATACTCACATGGGTGGTCGTATCAAGGTCTTCTTCTTGAATAATAAAAAAAAAATAGCAAATTTTTTTTTAACATCTTTATTTTTACTCTAACATGTCTCTATCGTGTCTTCGACAAAGGTTTTTTTTTCTTTTGAAGACGTCCAAATGGTTGTAGATTGTTTAATTGGAAAACTAAGAAAAAAAAATCAGGTTTATTTTCAGGATTGGTGAATGTTTAAGAAAATACCCAACTCTTCTAAAGATATGACAATTCCACAGCCTCCTACTAAACCAAGCTGATCTTTCAGCCGTGTTTTTTTAAACAAAAAAAATAGTGAATAATATATTTTCACGTTCATTTTCTGTATTGCCATTTCAGGAAAAAAATTACAATGTAACTTTCAACTGTAGCATGCTATTAAACTATCAACTATCACCTTATAGTTTTCCTGATGCAAATGAAACACAGAACAAAGGAATACAGAACTGTTTCAATCTTATTAAAAGTCAAAGTTTGAACTATTTAAACCAACTTTATTGAAGTGAACGAACTTATCACGGCAAGGGCTATAGAGATTAGTGACGTTTAACGCACGCACACTAGCGAGTGCATCACCGTGTAAAGTTGTTTCTCTGACTAAATATATGAAATTAGATCGGTCAAAATGAGTTTGACAACGATTTCTTATGTATTTTCCTCTAATTTTTACTAACACGCTCTCCCATATCGCACCAATAAAACCGGATGTGAAAATCTCTATTGAACACTCCATAAAATATTAATAACTCCGAAATGAAGCATTTCCGAGAATTGGTGTCTTTAGTAAAGTGATTTATTATTATAAGGACCATCTATTGACATAAACAGGTAGTTCAAAACTCATCCGCATAGATGACGCCAACTTCTAACTTCTTAAGGCGCTTGGGACATTATGGAGACTTGACGTCTTCAGCAAAGTTGTTTATCTCAAAAAAATAAAGAACTCTCATAATTCCACAGCCTACTGTTTCAGAGTTAATTGGAAAACAAAAAAGTAACTGGGAAATTTAAATCTGTTTCGATACTTTATTACTTTACATGATTCTTGGTGCAAATGCACTAAACATATAACTTATGCTAAGGAATAAACTGGTTTAAGTCCCAAATTACGAAGCGAATGCTGAAAAGCGTGACAATCAAAACTGTTAAAAATAAAATATAAAGCAATCCAAATAGCGTAATGCACCGAATACCAGACGATCCATTAATCGGGACATTTTTTTTTTTTTATTAAATATTACGTCTACTTTGCAACATAATAAATATGTGTGATGGTTCTGTACGACACTAAAGACATGATGGGTGTACCCCGTTAGGCATAAATACGCTTGGCATACAGACGTTAGGCAAAAATAAATTAGGCATAATATACGATAACATAATGTTAGGCATTAAACTTCATACTGTTAAGCAGGGTTTCTTCCACTCAGTTCGCTATAAGAAATGTTTTTCGATATTATGGCATCATTTGATGCTATAAAGATATTTTGAACTTTTATGCTACAAGAAGAGTTTGAAAAGCGCACACGAATCATAAAATCGCTTATTGTAACTCTCTGAACGCGAAATTGACAGGATTCATGTGTCAAACACACACTGTTCAACCTCGTCTTGTTAAGTAACCATAATGTAAAACAAAACAAAAAACTCGTCTTGTAACTTACAAGCACAAAATATTATTATCAAATCTAATGATTTAATAAATCAAAAAATCATGTTTTATAGCGAAGTGGGTGGAAGCAACCCTGATCAGAGCTGGTAAATATCACAGCTGTCATGTGACAATGAGAAAACAGGCCCTCTCACTATCATGAGACGAAGCGACCGATCATTAGCTTTCTTGTCATTTTCCAATGATCAAGCACTCATGAGAATAATTCTTATACCGTTTTGACATCAACATTTCTAACTGATTTAGATGAATTTAAGCAAGTAACCGTATGTAATCGGTAGAGTGAATATATTTTTAAGATTTCCTCGGTACAAGCAACTTTAATAGCAATACATGAGCTAGTAATCACGATGATAACAACACTGTCACGTTCTGTCATGACGAAAAAATCGATGAGATTTTGAATAAAATCTCTGTCATCGTTTTCTCATCCCGTGATAGTGACAGAAGTATCTCTGTAAATATCGCGTGAGATCTTTCATTGAAAATGACATTTGCCAGCCCTGACCCTGATCTCAGGGCATGAATCAGCAAACCACAATTATATTTGCGTATATAGATTTTAAATGTCACAGTTTTAGCACCAATTGGTGGTAATTCGAACATCAGCGGTAATTGGTACACTGATGGTATATGTTGGCTTTATAGGCATCAATGGGGAAATCTGAGGGGCCAATTCCCACAGTAAAGCGTTTATAGAAAAAATAAGAATTTAGAAAACCGTTGTAGAATAGTAGAATGGGGTTGTCCATTTACTAAGTAGACAGTAGGGAAAGATGACGTTATTGA